CGAGTTCTAGTGCCAAGATCCAAGATCAAGTGTGAACTTATTGAGCCGAGGAGATTCAGGAGCAGCAGTCGTTAGCTTTCCGAGCCACACACTCATCCGCTAGCTTACGAAGTGAGTTTCCTTCCCGTAGGGGCGGGTCTAAGGCCACAATGCCGGCCCGTCCAGTTAATAGTAGTTTCCGGACTTCGGTCCGATGTAGTAGTTAGTATGTTTGATGCCTTCGTGGTTCAGACATAATTCATGTGCTATGTGTTATGTGTTTTATGTTCCGGGCAGCGGCCCGATGCAGTATGCAGTATGTTTGTTATGATATGCTATGCTATGCTCAGTCAGTTCCGGGCTCCGGTCCGATGCAGGGGACACGGTCCCAGTCAGTTCCGGACTTCGGTCCGATGCAGCCAGTTCCGGACTCCGGTCCGATGCAGTCAGTTCCGGACTTCGGTCCGATGCAGTTAGTTCCGGACTCCGGTCCGATGCAGGGGACAAGGTCCCAGTCAGTTCCGGACTTCGGTCCGATGCAGTTTTCGGGCCCCGGCCCGATGCAGTGGGCAAGGCCCAATATGTGTTTATATGTTGTATGGTATGTGGTAAGTTGGGGGAGCTCACTAAGCTTCGTGCTTACAGTTTCAGTTTTGGTTTCAGGTACTTCCGCAAGCAAAGGGAAGAGCTCTGGGTGACGGCATCGCACACACCACCGTTTCAGCTTTAGTCTGGATTTGATTTAGTTGTTGTTTTTGGATATAGTATGTTACAGTTTCCGCACAGTACTTTATTATATTTTGGGGCATATCACGCATGGTTTATTTATATGATACTCTGATTATAGTTTTGATGGTATTAAAAACGAAATTTTTGGGTCGTTTCACATCATGTACTCAGGCAATTCTATCATACAATTCTTGAAGATCCCTAGCCTAGTACTAGCATGCTTTTCTAACATATCACAATATCAGATAAACGTACGGTATTTTGGGGTCTATTTACTGGCTCCGGCTGATCGTACACTTCGCATCATCGTTTACTTATTTTGAAAACCATTTAAAATAATTTTGAAAATCTTTCCTTGATTTGAGACTGGAGTCACATGAGTGTCACTCAAACCAAGGCTCTGATACCAACTTGTAACACCCATAAAATTCGAGCAAATTTAAAAAAATTTAAATCATTTGAAACCATTCAATTATTACAATTTGTTTCCAAAATAGTTTATACATCAGAGTTCCAAGAAATCATAATTGTTAATCGAGGAAGTGTACGGTCACGCCTTCGCCTACCCGCGGCCATCCGCTGAACCTGAAACAATAAACTGAAACTGTAAGCCCGAAAGCTTAGTGAATTACCCCCAAAATACCAACCTCATATAACCATAATCATAATCATACCATATCAACAAATACTGAACAACATGCATAATGAGCCTTCAGCCTGACTGGACCGCTCCCGAGCCTTCGGCATGACTGGACGGCCTCACAGGGCCTACAGCCTATCCTAACCGCTCACCGGGTATGTTGGCCTACAGCACAAAGTAGGACCGCCTCAACCCAACCCCCAACCAAACAAACATGTGCACATAAGTATCATACTCTAGCTCATATCATATAACAGTCAAACCGATCTAACAGATCACTAATCATAACAACATCCCAATAACCGGGGTACAGACCTAACCGGTCACTAACATAGCATCATCCTAACCAGGACAATCATGTGCACATAGATATCATATAACACTAGCATGTGTGTGTGTGTGTGGGTATATATATATATATATATATATATATATATATATATAATATATATATATATATATATAACAGTTAAACTAATCTAACAGATCACCAAGCATAGCAACAATCCTAACCAGGATACCGACCTAAACCAGATCACTAACATAATACCGTCATAATTTACCAAGACACCGATCTAACAAATCAATAAGCATATCAAACAAATACAAGTATACAATCCGAGAAAAGGCCCGATCTTGGTGTCTTAGACCCTGTTGATATAGTGAGGATAACTCACCTTGCAATGCCGGACTAAACCACAAAATCACGCTCCCGAAACACTGCTCTAAACTCCAACACCTATAACCATCAAAGATCCAATTCATAAATACCCGCTTACCAATTATCCTCAAAAGTAAAAAACGGTCAACCCTTGGTCAAAGTCAAAGTCAATTATCAAGGTCTACAGTCCATGTTGACCTCAACTCGTCGAGTACCCTCAGCTACTCGTCGAGTTCCTTGCATAACTTGCCAACTCGCCGAGTCACCATGCCACTCGTCGAGCCCAAGGAAATCTTCATCGGACTCGCCGAGTTATTCATCCAACTCGTCGAGTTCATGACCATCTTCATGTGACTTGCCGAGTCTACCATGTGACTCGTCGAGTCACTTCAGTCCTTCATCCATACAGAAGCTTTTTAAGTCATGTTAAGGCTCCATACTACAGATCCAACTTCCCAAGGCATGTTTATCACGTAAAGTTGCAAACTTTACGTGCATGCAAGGCTCTAATGACTCAAAATGCCAAAACCAAGCTTGAAATGGGGTTTTACACTTAAGGAGGGGTCCATACTTTCCCAAGCTGATAGCTTTATAGACTTACAAATCAAAGAGAGTTCAGATCTGAAGTTACAACTTCAGATCTGAGCTCATACCCAAGAATAGATTCATAACCAAGCCAAGAAGCCCTAACTTCATCCAAAGAGATCTAGAAAGGAATGAGGCCAAGATCATGAATTGATACCTCAAATGAAGCTAGCTGAGATAAACTTCAGACCCACAAACGTTCTTGCCTCCAACTTGTTGATCTTCAAGTTTCTTGCATCAAGGTATTCCTTCCAATCTTGCAATTTACACTAATATGGAGCACACAAACGAATTAGGGTTTCTGGACTCTCAAGAGGCTGCAAAGGAACTAAGGGAAGCTAATGATCCCTTAAATAGCGTGCCAAACCCCGGAAATTAGGTTTCACCCTCCAGCTCCAACTCGTCGAGTCACTCTTCCGACTCCGCGAGTTGGTCACTTAAACACATGGCCCAAACCCGTTGTTACTCGACGAGTCATGCAACCAACTCGTCGAGTAGATCTTGAATTCATGAGAATTTATAACCATAAATTGGTATTCGAGAATCGGGGGGTTACAAAAGATTTATGATACTTTATATGCTATTATTTGATTGGATCTATGGTTTATTGTCAACCGGATTCGGAAACTTTATGTGTTCAAATTTCTAAACGTCTAGTTACGGTATTAGAACTAACATGTAACTTTTCGGAGTGACAAGGAGGATTTAAACGTCTATCGTAAATAAAGATCCAAATTCGCCTATTTTGGTGTATAGATTGACATGGTAAGAACTTGAAGCAGATTAGGAAATGCTAATGGAAACCTGAACCACAAGTGATTGAGCGTGCACCAAAGGTAGCAGATGTACCCGAGCCAATCACGGTGGCATAAGTACAAGCAATGATACAAATGGTATTGGATCATCAAATGGAAGAGACAAGACGTCTACTTCAACACCTGAATTGAACATCGAACAGTCAGAAAAAAGTGAATTACAATAGAACCGTTAGTCAAGCTGAATCACCAGTGGTTAAAAAAATAACCTAGATGAAGGAATTGAAAGGAACGGATGCAAGTATTCACGACTTGCAAACCATCAACCTAGATGAAGGAATTGAAAGGAACGGATGCAAGTATTCACGACTTGCAAACCATCAACTTTTACTGAGAAAGAATATCCAATTGGAGTTATGGTGTGAAATAATAAAAATAAAACTAATAATATAGGTATTAAGAAATTAAAAATAACATAGTTATAATGTGTAACAAATTAAATTATATATATATATATATATATATATATATATATATATATATATATATATATAAACTATATTTTTTCTTAAAACGGCTACGTTTATGTGCTTCAGTGTATATGTAGTTTGTCTCCCACAAGAACCTACAAACATGTTTAACAACACCCATAAAACTAGTATTATGAAAAATGGAAAAAACACATTTTATAAAGGAACAATATTATGAAAAATATAGTTTTCTTTTTAATGGCGTTTTTTCCCGGAATGAAAATCAATGGGAAAATGAAAAACATGATGTAGAAATTTTTGAACGTTGCATCTACATCCATCCAGCATCCATTCTGACAGGCGAGATGGAATTTGGTTTTCTTAGGTTAGGTTTAAGAAGTAACCATCAAAACTTAAATAGAACTAACCATCAAAACTTAAAGTACTAGGTCAAGGTCAACCCGTGTCACTTCTTTATATGTAGATGAACCTCAGATGATAGAAAGAAAGAAGGTGAAATTAATCCAAATACATTCTTTTGTCCTTTTCTTATATCTCTAATAAACTGTACCATATATATATATATATATATATATATATATATATATATATATATATATATATATATATATCCACAAAGAAAAGAATATTTGGGTATACTTAGCAAAGAAAGTTTGACAAAGCTTATAGGTAGCTAAGCCAAGGGTAAAGTGAATGAATCACAAAACCAAATTGGAAGCAGGCAAAAAATAGGTAATAAAATTTACTTACATGAAGCCAAGCAAGCCAGTGGATCTTTAATGTTTTTTCAAGTTTCCATCATCATTATATCATTTTATTATTCTACTACTAAAACTAAAACTACTAGGAAGGAAGCAAAAGCAACCCATAAGACCACAGCATTTTTCCATGCTTACAAATAGAGCCCCAAAAACCAACCAACCAACTTGTTCAACATAACAAGAATATCATCAGTCTTTCTCTTTCTTGTCATGAATTGTTCTTCAAAATTCACGAAGGCATCACGATTCATAACCAATCTTTCATTTCTTTATCTGAAAAAAACCAACCTAACTTTCTTCATTACACGAAACAAAATCGGAATCAAAAGTAAACAAATGAAGGAAAGTACAAAGGAAGGGTGATGCAGGGAGACTTACATCTATACATAATAACAGACAGCAGCAATGACTGAAACAAATTGACATGACTAGCCGAACCCAAAACCTTCACTAGCTTCATGGATCGCAAGCAGCAACCGCTCTTGAAGCTGTTCCTTTGAAGTGTACTCAGGAAGATCTAATTGGTTGAAGCTGAAACAAAAATAAAAATAAATATATATACATATAAATTTAATCAAATAAAATTCCAAATTCCAAATTCTAAATTCTAAATTCTAAATTAAACTAACCAGGTATGAGCAGATGGCAGCCTCTCTGGTGCTCCATAAGCTTTATGGATTTGGAACCTTTGTGGACCCGATATACCTTGTAGTGCTTTAAAACCTTCCAATGGAACCTAACCAATCACCAATGTTATCGTTAGATTGTATTATATATACAAAATCATTAATAATTATTATATCCTCAAATATACCTTTGATGTACCAGTGACAAATTGAAGCAATCTCGCCCTATCTTCTTTATTAAATGCTTTCACAACCTCCCAAAACCACACAACAACACCAGAACCTACTGTGTATCCTGTGTATTCAGCATTCGCCTTCAGATCATCCACTGCATTAAAAACAATTAACAAGGCCAAGGTTGGTTAAATTTAAATTAATCATGTAAATATGTTAATAATTTTTTTTTTTAACAAAATATACTCACAGTCAATCTCTGGGAGTCCACTGATGAGCAGCTCAAGCTCTTTATCGTTAAAAATAGAAATAAGGTCACGTGGAATCAACTCGTTAAAACCCTCCAAGAATGAATTTATTTGAGGGCGTATTGCATTTGTCAGAATATGTTCAGCAACAAGATCCACATATTCATGCTTTGTTTCTTCTGTCACCCTTATGTTCCGTCCTCCCGGTTTCAGCTCATAATCGGTAACCTTTTTTTTACCATATACAAATAAACCACATCTCAATATTCCATTCTATAAATAAATAAATAAATAAATCTAATTTACGAACCTCTGTCTTCTCATAGAGAATGTGTTTTTCTTCATCAGCATCCATGCTAAATGTCAAGTCCAGTATGTCGCTTACATCGTTCTGAACCAAGTAAAAAACAAACCATGATATTATATTGCATGCAAATATTAAATATTAAATATATAAATAACGTATAAAACAATGTTGTCGCTTACCTCCAGCAACCACTTTAAGTTCTTGTAATAATCAGGATCAACAGCCTCTATGTCATGATATGTTACCTTCACACCGAGGATATGCTTATAGAAGGATCGTGTGAAGTAAACATCCAACAGTTGCCCATCAAACAAGGCTTTAGCAACCTATAACATACATAATTAGGGTTAAAACCTTATTCCACAACATTTCAATTCTATTTTGAAAAAAGAAAAAGGGTATTTTCGGAAAGTACCACACGGCCAACGAATTTGAAGTAAGAAAGATGCTCCGTCTGGTATACAGAATTAGGGTTTGGCTGGAAGGTTGCATTGTTCCCTCCAGTTGTAAAAAGCAAAGCACCTTTGTCAAATATGACCCTGGAAAGCAACTGATACCATTCTCTTGTCAAACCACCAGCATCGATACCTTCTTCACCTTGAAAATGGACATTTAAGCGTCCTTTCAAATCCTGACTAGGTCGCATCCGT